AACCATTCACCTCTTTCTTGACCTTCTTCATGCCCTCCATTACTCCAGAGGTTGTCACCCTGGAAGAGAAGGGAGAAACATCAGAGAACTGAACTTGAACTGTAACACCCATTTCACCAATAGCCCAGGTTTGTGTTCCTGCTCATATCAAATAACACTTCAAGTGTCTCATTACCAAGCAGTCTCAATGTTTGGCCTTTCCTATTACTATTATTTTGCAGGCCAGGTATCATTTGGACACAATACTGGTGAGTGGTAGAAGCAAGGCTGTTGTACTTGAGAACCTCAAGGCCTTCCCCATCTATCATTAAACTAAATGAGCAAATAATATTTGCTTATACATGAAAGAAGATAGCAGGGGTGGCTAAATGGTTAAAACAGGTGTTTATTTGCTAAAGTTTGAACAGCTTACTTAGAAAATTTTGCTATACAGCTGAACACCCTTAATTCTCTGCATTAAGTACTTCTGCATTTGCAATGCTTTTAACAGGTACAACATATTATATAAATGTGCACACAGTGTACAGTGCCCCAAATAAACCTTACTGGCTTAATGCACACCAACTCCTGTTAAGAGCAAAATTACTCAATGAACAGCAACAAGACAGAAGAGAGGTCATCCTTTTTCTACCATCCAAGTCTGGATTTGTCACAGCAATCTGACCATTGAACTATAAAGCCTCATAATACCGGTCAAACATTAGGCAGACTGAACTGTTTATCCAGCCAGAACAGCACTACTCCTCTCAGAACTCCCTTGGCTATCCAAGAAGCTTTTCAGCCCAGTAGCGCTCTCTGTTGCTATACAAAACAGGCTATTTGCATGCACAAGACATTTGCTTTATTCTTTCGCACAATATTATTCGCATTCCACACAGGTATTTTTTTCCCCTCATAAGTGTGCTACAAAGGTTATTTTGAATGCTGAAAGCAAAAGTGCCAATAACTCCATGCATTCACGAGGGATGCCTGGAAGCAGACATAAAACTGTCCTGTTCAGAGATGCCGCTGTGTGTGGTGTACTTCAGTCTTTGTGTGCTTTCACCTGCTGTTTACCATGTAAGAATACTTTATTTGATCAGTCTGGCTAACAACATTTTCACAGTCTCACCCAAGAGAAGAAGTTATCTTCAGATACACTCCTTTGATAATGCCCTTAGTTCCACATTAGATACCAGCTTCTGTACATGTACTATAAAAATAATTTACTCAAAATGGCGTATTTAGTGACTCTCTAGTGGCGGCAGTACTGGGATCATCAGTAGTTCAGACACTTGAGCATGGGCCTAGATGAGCTTGTGTTTAAGGGAATAGGGAAAGGGTCAGAAGAGTACAGATCAAATAGTAACTTTATTCCCTATTGAAATAAAAAAAGGGGCAGAGGGGAGAGAAAAGCAAGCAAGTGCTTAAAGAAGAAAGATATAAATTAGTAAACAGTAAACATTTGCCTGGAAGAAATCACATCAAGCTTGAGATCTACATGTTCTCTGTGCTGGTAAGTTCTCCCTGTTGACAAAGATTTTCCCACAGTCACATAGGAAAAAATCTGGGGAAACATGAGCTAGACAAACCCATCAAAGTAGATGCATCACTAATTGGAAAAGCATGCATTGAGATGTACTTAATGGTTTCCTGTCAAAAATGAAAGAACATGGAGCGTTGTTCCAGAGAGGTCTGTCCTGGGTTCACTTCTACTCAATATTTTCAGTAATTGCCTGGGTAATGGAATAGAGAACTTGCTTATTAAATCTGAAGAAGGCACTAAGAGCTACATATTTGAGAACAGGACTAGAATGCAGAAAGATTCTAGCAAATTGAAGTAATGGTCTGAAAAATACGGGACAATGCAGCAAGACCACTACGAAGTTTGCTCTTCAAAAATAATAACCTTCGCAATTACAGAGTAAGGGGCTAAATATCAATTCTTCAAGGAGGAGCTGAAGATTACAATAGACTACAAACCAAAAATGAGCCACTAACACAATCATGCAGCAGCAGACATACTAGGATATACAAATAGGTGTTTTGCACATTCATGACACCAAAGTAGCCTGAACACTTGACTCACAGCTAGTAAGATCCCACGTGGCACACACTCTCGATTTTAGCTCTGCACTTTAATATAATTACAAATGCATTACACAGCAAGACAATGACAAAAATGATCAGAGGTTATGGCTAAGAGGGAATGACCCACATTCATGGAAGGAAAGGACAAACAGCTACATACTAAAATTGCAGCCAGGTCAAGTCATGTCACTTGTTACCAGAGAGGCCATTTACTTTCCCCACCCTGCAACGATAGCAAAGAACTGGGAGAGATTTTGGGGTGGATTCTTCAACAGTGAAAGTTAAAGACCATCTGATGAGCACTGTTCTGGTCTCATGACAAGCATATGACGCAGCTCTTGAGTCCTCATCTTCTCAGATTGTTTGTGTACAAATTCCTCTCTCCCTCAAAATCAGTTTATCCAACCCATTTTAGTGCCCAGTAAAATAAGGCTATCAGCATCAAGATCAAGCACACTGCAATTCTCATTCTAGTCCTCTGAGCAGTTTTAAGACTACAGTTCTGACCTGCAATACTGCAATTAAGTATTCCTCACCTGCAGTTCACTGAACTGCATTTCCAGCCCACAAACTAGCAGTAGCTAAAATGCAACAAATCCTTCTCACTAAACCATCTGTCTCCAGAGCATCTTTGTGGCTGTCAGAGGGATGCCTGTCACAAACAAGGCACAAAAGGAATTCCCCAAACACTCCATTGCATAGTGGTACATGCTACAGAAGCTTCATAGTTTTCTTTTTCCCCCCCGCATCATATCCAAGAGATGGCTAACCATTCAGAAGCATTTTCAGCCTTCATTAATGGTGGATCTCAGCTGTCTTTTCTCCTGTTTTTTGTTTTGTAGTCCCAACAAGAAACACTGCGATACTGGCAGCAGCCAGCCTTTACAAACTACTGCAAACTGAGTGAAAACTGATCAGCCATTGAGCAAAAAAGCTGATCTCTGCATGGGAAAGATGTGTTCAGTGAAGAAAATCACTTCTAATGGAAAGCATCACGAACCAGTCTGCCATGAAGCGCAACCTGAGAGAAAGCAGAGAAAAGCAGCCAACCAGGACTTCAAGTCTCAGCACAGAGTAAGTTGCCTCATGATACAGTGAGAAACACCAGATCCCAAGGCATAAACAAAAGGCAGGTCAGTGTTACCACAATAGTTCACTATGTTGAGGCTGTTTTGGGTTAAGAGAAAACAAAGTTAGTCTCCACACACTCAGTAAGATGGATTTACTGAATTAACACCAAAACCATTAATGGCTTTTCTTGCAATTCCTCCTCCAGTGGATTTGTCTTAACCCCACGTGCATGTATGAACATCATTCTCAACCAAGATCTGTAGAAGAGCACTTTGGTACCTAATTTTTAAAGCAAAATTACTGAGCTAATGAAATAACTTACTGCAAAAGTAATAACCCCCCCCCCCCCCCAAAACCAAAACTGCTTCTTTTCCCCTTCCTCACCCCACCTCATCTACTGTACTGTTTATATTTTTGTGTTCATGCCCCAGAAATGGCATTAGGACTGGAAGCCTGACAACTCTTCCTGCCAAGTGCAGCTGCACTTTTTCAAACATAGTACTTGAATCTAACAAACTGTCAGCGACAAGCCCACAAACTGACAGAACGGGCTCAAGAGGCTGCCCAGCACAGAATACACAGAAAGCCACTTTGTTGATGACAAATGGCTATTGACCATACTTGAAAAAGAACAGGACTGGTCCTTAGTTCAGGTTTAGTCATGCTCTCCTCTCCAGCAGGAGAACTTGTATTGAGTCTGGTATAGCTGAAGAGAAAGTCCTATCCCAAGATAGAGGGGTGTTAGTTAAAAAGACTTATTACAAGTTACCTTTGCTGCTGTTCATTTATATTTTGAGTTACAAGAATTTACAAAGGGAGGATTTGTGTCTTACACTGGTTCTGTCACAGACACCTGGTCTTTGGATTCTTCTTGAAACTTCGCAGCTTTCTACACTGTACTTAATATTTACATTTACTGCCAGACTGAGCTTTGTATAGTTTGCACTGCATGAAAACAGGCATAAGCTAGAGACCTGCACTTAAAATGTCCTATTTTTTTGCTGGAAGACAAGCAAGCCTGGAAAACAGGCTTGGTGACCTCATGGGTCTCCCCTCTGTTGGCTCATAGAAATGTTGAACCTAAAGAAACGGAATGCTTCTGCAGCAAATGTTTTTAAGAGCCCAATTTTAACAAAAAACATCTGGGAGAAGACAACAACCATAAAACCTGGCAATAAGACATGGCAGAACACCATGAAGTTTGCAGGCTTTTAACTTTTGCCATAGCCTCTGAAGACAAGTGGGTATTTATCACATGAAAGACAAAACACTCATACAATGTTTGCCCAGGCTGCGGTCAGGCACTCAGTCACTTGCTCAAATAAGCCTTGATATTTCCACCCCCCACCCCCCTCCCAACAGAAACATTTAGTATTTACAAAAGCAAAAATAGGACCAGCAATACCAAGTCAACAAGAAATTTAATACACTTTCATTGCAGTGCTTCACCTGTCACAGAACGTGTATGCACCATGCTTTTCAAATATGTGCAAACTTAAACCTCCCTGATGCAGCTGGGGAAGGCAGAACAAACCTCTTACAGGTCATACCCTGCCAAGCACCCAAATGGAGTAAAACTTCTGGTGAATCAGATGAGAAAAATTTAGGCAAGGCTAAGGGGAACAAAGCCACAAGGCACAACAATAGAAGCTCCCAAGGCAAAGAGCAAAATGCCTTACTAGGAAAAGGCTCACAAGGAATCCTGATCCTCAAGTTTCTAGTAACATCTATTTCACTATGGCAAGATGTAAATCACTTAATTAGTTCATTAAATTTTCTCCAGATTATTCCTGGCAGGTTCTCTTAAATTTAGCAGCTTCTCCAATTCACTAGAATTACAACATGTGAAAGGTGCCATATTATTAGTCCTAAATAAAAACAAGTAAAAATTCATTAAGCTTGTCATGCAAAGTTGAAATTCACTCTAACAGGCAATCTTCTAGGAAAAAAGCTCTTTTCTGTACAATCACAAATCCTGCCACACCTTCCAGTTCAGACAGTGTCTTCCTAATGTGAATGTTTATTTACCAGCTCCCAAACTGAAAACAGCTTCTTACATAAACCATTTAAACACTTAAGTGATGATGATTTTAGGGTCACTACCCACTAGTTGGATTCTGCTTGCAACAATGACAGATTTTATGGATCCAAAGCAAAAATAACTAAGCATTTGGAAAGAGGATCTTTGTTACAAGAGGTATTCCTGAGAAATTAAACTGCTTGCATGATATTTCAGGCTAGATTCTACCTCAAATTGTAGCAATTTCCTAGTAAGCTCCATTTCTTTCTGAGCTAACTATGAGGGTGAACACATTCTGACTTTTTTTGCCCCTGCAATAAAAATTGGAGCATTGATTCGTTTCACCCAAGATCAGGTAAAGGAGATTTGCAAAGCTGAAAATAAACTCTTATGAACAGGCTTCTGAGCCTGTACGTGAACCGCAATTATGCGGGAAGTGTGTAGCTACTAAGGAGATCAGGTTAGCTCGGCGCCTATTAAGGCAGAGTCTGTGGCAATTATAGCTGTATTTAATGCTGCTAGCATGCTGAATTTCTTAGGGCAGTTTCTATTGCAGATTCAGAAATGCCACTGATTTTCTAAGTCCTCAGAAAACCACTGCAAAGAAAGCAACAGGGACTGAGGCTGAGCCCCACTTAACTTCTCCAGACTATCTCAGGTCCTACTGCATTTGCAGTGCCTCATGGTTTAGCAGGAAGGAACAGAACAGTGAAGAGTATTGGTAAAAATCCATCTCCTCAGCTCAATGTTACTTTCTGCAAAGCTATGGGCTGAACTTCAAGGTAGAAGTGACCTGACACCATATTAATTTATATTCTGTAGATTGGTAGTTAGGTTTTGTCGTTAGTTTGTTGGGGTTTTTTTAATATGAAGCATTAATGACAATTTGTAAGGCTCACTGGTGTTCAGCAACACATATTAAACACAGAAGGTTTTTTACTTAATATTTTTACAGGCATCTTTTTGCCCCTTGAAAATCTTTACCAGCTTATTCCACACTACTGCAATATCCAGCACAGAGGCTCCTATGCATATCACAGATCTCTTTGTTAGTTTAAGACACGCCAAATAGACACCTCATCTTTAAACATGTGGGCAGATCTTAGTCTTTTTCAAAGAAGGATTTAGAGAGATTAAAGTAAACTGTCTTTAAACATTACTTTTCTCAAATCAAGTGAAGAGGTAAAAAAAGGGGGGGGAGGGGTTCTTACACAGCTTCCATCTCCAAGTCATCCTCATCGTCTTGAGAAAGCTGTAGATAAGGGTTGTCTGATGCTGGACGGAACTTGTACCCAGTGAGGACAAAGAACACAAGTGTGGCTGTTTCATCCAGCAGCTGTGAGTAAAAACACAAGATTGAAGTTCAGTCCTGTAACCCTTCATGGTCATGACACATTTCTCCTCATTCATAAGGTTCAAGATTTAATGGCCAAGAAGCCTATGCCACAGCAGAAATAACAAAGCAATTCCTGTCCTGTTATCATTAATCCCAGGCTAAAGGCTGTCAAGCCCTTTGTTCTTTCAGCTTTCCCTGTCACTTTAAATACAGTTACAGTTCTAGCCATCACTCCAGTGCTTTTAAGTAACTATGGCAAGACTTGGCTTTTAAATGAGGGGGAGAAAAAATCATCCCTACATTGTTTGGTATTTTCAACAGTTAATGTATTCCAAAGACTCCCTGCACAGTTACTTGGATTATATGTTAAGAAACCAAGTATTTAAAAGTCACTAAGCAAAAAAAGCCTGTAGATGGAAGAGCAAAAGCCTATTTCACTGGCTCCCTGGGGCCTCAATTACATAGGGCAAACCTGACTAATTTTTTTCTCCTTTGTATGTTTCTTGATTAATTTCCTTCAGACATTTTTAAATTGAAAGACTAAAAAAATCAATAATGCAATTACTTTCAGACATCTCATGTATAATCCAGCAGCCTTGCTGGACAAACATAAAACTAAAAATATATTCCTGCCACCTTAGGCACATCAGTGATAAAAATCAGGAAGAGGCAGGGTGCAGCACTGTGCTCAGAGATGTTCTGCTACAACATGAGGAACAATTTATGGAAATTTTTTTCTGTGCAGTTATATTTAAAGAATAATAAGAAAAAATAATCAAAGAATAGATGTATTTTCCTTTGCTGGCAAATACCTGGTACAGCCATTTCCACTGGAATGGAACAGCAATCTTTATGAGAATTGCAATGATCCGTGTGAAGTAAATGTAACACACAATCTGGGAAGGAAAAGGAGAAAGCATGATGAAAACAACAGCACCATCCTTATAGAACCTCTTTTTCCAGAGAAACAGCTCAAACATTTCCCAGGCAACTCATTATGTCAGATCAGCCTTATTATGCTCCTTGATAAACATATAAGATATAGGCTGAGGGCTCTACTGCTGCTTGTTGAAAATCCCAATGACTCAAACTATTGCTAACATATTTAAGTTACAGCAGGAAAATGCTTTAAGTATTAGGATTTTGTAGAACTTGAAAAATCAGGATTGTCAAATCTATTACTCTTACCACTTCTAAGAGACTGAAATGAGGGTGCTGGAAATCATTAAGCAGCCTATGCTCTCTTGGGAGGTATGCTTATGGCTCCCACTGACTTAATCAGAAACTGCACACATGCATCTCAAGGCACCATTTGGTCCCAAGTTTAATTTTTAGGAAGTTTGCAGTATGTTATTCAAGCCCATCAATTCCACTGGCAGCTCAAGCTGTCTCAAGAGGAAATTAGTAAGCGTTACAAATAGCTGGAACCAATTTAAAGATAGGCAGAAGGATGCAACCACTAGGAAAAGAAGTTGCTCTGAGGATTGTAACCCAGTTGACCAAGATGCCAAAGCACAGCACTGCAACAGAACTAGGAACATCACCATATCCACCAGCTATAGTAGCTTCCAACAACTAATCCAACAAAAGACTTGAACAGCTTATAAATGCTCTGTATGCATGCGCATGTGTTTTACTTACCATAACATAGTAATGTCGGAAAAGCTTCAGCTTTGCTAGGTTAATGGCAGCTATCAAGAGAACACAAAAATCCATCAGAAAACTGTTAAAATGAGACAGAGTTTCTTTTGATACTTGTCTGCAAGGTAGGCAAGAGGTCAGAACTAGGACTCAGGTATTCCCAGACTAGAAAGATTTGTCCCACAGCCTGTTGGGCCCTCTGAGGAGTGCCAGTCTGGCTTGTCTACATACTGGACAACTCCTAGGCTAGGGTGAATGCCCTCTTAAAAAGGCAACTCAGTAACATCACCTTTAGGGTAAATTTTATATGCACATGCTCTGCAATGTAGAACCTTCCTCTAATGCTTATCTGTATGCAGCCAACTACATACCGCCACCAGAACCTTGACAGAAGGGCCATGCCACTTGACATTGCCTCCTAGAAAATTCCTGTCTTTTCTAGAGTAGCTCCTGACCTGCTCTGTGCCTTCAGCTCAACTGAGAGAAAATGAGGTCACCTCGGCTCTGGGAGCCACTGCATCTTGTTGGACTGCAGCAGGAGTATTTTAACATCTACGCAGTTATCCTCTATCATTCCTGGCTCAGTCACAACTTACAAGTGAAATAAGTAGTCATACTCAACAGTTCTCATAGCAAATGCATGTGTTGCAGTCAGAAACCGTGCAAGCTGAGGCCTCAGGCTACCCTGTGTTTATTGGACAGATTACATCAACTCTTGAGGAACAGAGCAGATATTCATGTGAATGAGCAGAGGTCAACAACAGATGGAACAGCTGTCAGCTCTGGTTTGAGAGTCAGGTTTTAGAGGTGCAGCAGGATTACAAATACAGACTCCTGGTGCTTTTGTGACAACAGAGGCAAAGAGTCCAAGATATGTTGACAGCATACAGAAATGCAATTTAGAGACAATGGATGTAGCTGCCAGTTCAAAAATACTGCCACATACTTACAGGTATTCCCTCCAAGCCCTCCTTGTAAATTTTTTATCAGGTGGGGAAGTGCAACACATTGTGCTCAAGTTCACCTGCACTCCCTCACAGAAATCACCCACTGCATAAAGCGGATTTATAAAAGGCTGCATGTATCTGCACATAAGATCTTCCAGGTTCACATCAGTGCAAAATATAGCATTACACACCAAGAAAAGGAGAGCTAATAGCTACCGAAAAAATGTTTCACTTCCTACGACAAAAACAAGGAAGCTTTTCTTATGGAGAGGTAATGTCAAATGTACCACTCAAACTGTTACAGGATCCCACTACATCAGCTACAGTGAAGACAGACAATATTCTGTTATAAACCTACTTGTATAATCTAGAGATCAGGAGTCTTTCCAAAACTTACCTTCAGTGTTCCAGGAGAACCACTGAAAGCTACGGACACCCTGAGACAGGCAGAAACCCTCCTCCAGCAGCACCTGACTAGCACAAGGCATAAACTGCCTGACAAGTAGACAAAACTAAGCTAAGAGTAGTTTTGATGTAGTGCCTGTTAGAGGCTTCTACACATCTCCAAATGGTATGTTTAACTTTTGACAGAGCACAGGGCATGTCGGTAAGAGAAAGCAGAGCCAGACCTCAAGGGGAAAAAAAAGGAAGCCTTATTTGTGAAGGAACATCAAGCGTGTTTCCATGCAGCTAAAGATTGTACTGTGCAACACCCATCCAAACACCAGTCAGACTGGGTTGGCTTTGGGCAAGACTGTGCCATAATCTTATGGCGCAGTACACGAGAGGAACACTAGCTCTTCGTTTTGGGAGGATGCTCCCTTCTGGTCTGCAATACAAAACACTGAACGTAGAATAGCATCTACTTTGCAATATAGAGTTCTGGACTCCAGAAAGCAATGCCCAAGCTCTAGACTTGCATCTGTTGAGTACCAGCAGTGAAGCACAGAGCACTTCACTGGGCAACAGATGGCAAGACTTGGAACTGCTAGAACAAGAACCTAACTAAATCCTTGGTAGCTAAATTGGCCCTGAGACATTGGTTTAGCTACTTCTCCCTCATTTCCATCCCTCACAAAAGCTAGTTTCCCACATTTAAATAGCAAAACCTTATAAATTTTCACGGGTCTAGTGCTCTACCAGATAACCTAATGTTAAAAGCTTTTCATAATACAGTTGGAGAAATATTAAACTGTGTAAATATGCAGGACAAGCTCATTAAATTGTGAAGCAGGGAAGCAATATTGTCCTATTTAAATGAGAGCTACATTAAGTGTGACCATGAAGATCTTGTGATTTACCACATACCAGTTTCTACACAGAAGGATCTATTTTGAACTCAACGCATTCATCTTCAAGAACTGCCACCAACTGGTGCAATGACAGGCCATGAGAATTACCAGGCTTTGTAGTTAAAGGAACACCAACTCAACAGCTGTGATTCAAACTGCCAGTCCATCAATGCTTTATAGTCAACAACTGAGCGAGCTGGGGAGTCATTTCTATTGGATTCACACAGTGCATAGGAGGAAAGGATAGCAAAGCCAAGGATCTGGCTGCCAACTGAAGCGTCACAACGCCGCCTCTCCCAACTGATTGAACACAGCTCAAGATCTCACCTACTCATCATGATAATCAATACCAAAGAGTTATCAGTTGGTACATCCAGGTATTTAGAATGGCTGAACATGGGAAAAAAGGGTGAGGAAAAAAAAACACAAACAGACAACCACCACCAAGTAGAAGGACTGGAGAGCCACCTCTGGAAGTTGGCTTGCTTATTTGTTACAACTACACGGTCTCCTCTAGCTGCCTCAACTTCAGGAATACTTCTCTCCACTATCAGATACTGAAGTCAGTATTAATGCAAGACTACACAATTCTGCCAGTTTTTTTTTTTTTTTAAACAGCTCAAAGTTACAGCACACAGTGTTCTGGAGAAAGTCTAAAATCATCATTGCTTGGCATCAGCCAGCCTGTGAATTGCTTTTTCACAGGCTGAACGTGCTCCAAGCAGTAACACTTGAGTCTTGCTAAGGTGGACACTTTTAAGACTTCAATCCACCTTAGCCTGACAGTTCAGACCCTGACAGCAACACTTGCAAGGAGAGGCTGGGCCAGCAGCTGTCACTTACAACTTAAATCACTTGCAGCCCCAACCTGTAAAGCTGCGATAACACAGCAGCAATCACAGCATGCAGTAAAGGTTGGGTAAATTTATGTTTCTAGTATGATAACCATTCTTCAAGAAATAGTACTTTAACTGCAGAGAACGTAAAAAAAGCAGTAGACACTTTCTACCAAAGGTTTTGCAAATGAATTCATACTTGTGTTCCACCTCTTTCATAATTAAAAAGATAAAAGCCATCTTCCAAGAAAGGTTTTATAACATCTATACCTCACTTCCCTCAGTTTTCCCTCCATCACCATTTGCTTTTAACAACTTGCGCCTGCAGTATCCTGATCTGCATCAATCAAAACATAGTATACCACAAAATTTTCATAATCAGTCTTTGTTCAGATTGCCCCCTGTGCTCATTTCAAATGCTGAGACAGCCTATAGGATGGGGAAAAAAGAAAGTCAGACCATCCACTACAGCCTTGCACACCATCAGACAATAGCTTTTTGATGAGTAAATCTGACCTTTTTAGAATACATATGTAATAACAGTAAGAGGACTGCAGCTGAGGGCATAGGAAGCTCGAGTCCAGATAACATAGCAGGCATCTTGAGTGAACATGCTAAAGTACAGCTAAGAATATTTCTGCAACACTTTGCATGCTATACTAACTCCGGTGCATTTGTGATGCAATCTGTGCCATTACCAAACAGTAAACAGAAGTTTTCTATTCCCTCTGGCTCCCAAGAATGAAGGCACACATGTAGATCTAGACCTCAAAAAGCAACTCCAGGAGTAACTGAGAAGTATGGCCCTACAATCTCTACAGCACTCTGCATTCCTATACAAGAAAGAAGAGGTTAAGCAAACAGATAAAGCAACTGTGTCATGCATGAGAAGGTGGCACAGACTAGTTAATCTTGAATATTCTGAAACACATTAGCCATTTGGCACACAAATTCCCCACCAGGGTCAGAAGAATGTCCAAAGTACAGGATAAGCAATGTATCTCCAACATGTAATTGCTGCATCAACCCTGGATAGCGATCTAGGGCACCTGGAAGTGGTACACTGGAACATAACAGGCCTAATTAATTTGTCAGCATTTCCCAACTCTCCAGTGCTACCCACTGAGGTCTCGACACTTAAATCACTAAGCTTTAACTCAAGGTTTGAGATGCCCATGTACTGCCTAGAGCATGTTTACCCCTGCGCTACCCCCTCTTCCTCGCTGGAGAGCTGCAGAGGTGTTTTAGCATGGGTCTCCACGGAGCCATAGCCTCCAGCGTCTGCTGAGCTCAGCTAAGCAGAGGGTGTTCTGCACCATGCAGGACTCTTTGTTCACAGCATTTTCATGGTACAGAAGCAGGAAGACACTGAATACAGCACATGGTTGTTCCTGACATAGGGGCAAGCATGAAAGCATTAATCATCATTTGCCCACTGCACAGGGAATGTTGCCTGGGAGCTACACACTGCAATGTAGTTCCCCTAATTTTGCTGCCAACTATGACATGCTGCAGTGCTTCAGGAGAATAGCTAACTGTTCGTGATCAGACTGCACCGAGTTCCACATCTCTCATCACACACACAGAGGTACAAGCAGAACAAAAACTGCAGTGGTGTTTCCAGCCCTCCATTCCTCCCTCAAACAACAGATGACGTGATACCCAAGAGCGGGTTATGAGACTTGAGAGGTCCAGTGACCAAGAATTTTGAGTCTGAAACAAAAATAAGCAAGTTGATTACAATGTACTCCCTCTCTTCCTTTTCTCATGATGTCTGTAAGCAAGGTTGTGGTAGTTGAGCAGCTTTCCAGCCCAAACAATTCTACCTTAGTTTGCAAGGCTGATTTCCTTAAATCTGCAAGCAAGACATTTGTAATGCAGACCTAGCAGTGGACAAAGAGCCCAATCTCATCTGAAAGACACAGGCCAAGGAGCTGCATCCAGGCACTTGCTTAAGTCTGAAGGTGGCAATTTTAAAAGGGGAAGAAAAAGCTTCTAAAAATGGGCTGTTTATGCCCACTGCTGTGCAAGTTAAGCCTGTGTAGGTCAGATATTTTGCTTTAAAGATCACCTTCATGGGAAAAAAGCAAACCACCAGGCAGTTCAAACTCGGCTGCATCACTGTGCCCTGCCTACTGTTCACTTGCAATACACAGCATCTGTGCATTTAAGGTATCCCTGGATAATTATGGCTTTAGACCCATTCCTCTAGCTTCCCACTTTAGAAAATAACCTTTAAGAAAAAAAATCAAGTTTAAATGACCATTAGCTAGTGACTCCAAATCATTGTTACTTATAACAAGTCTTTTTAATAATTCTATATTGCTGATACAAAGGCCTGTGGCAAGCACAGCTATAAGACTAGTAGTCCAACCAGCCTTCTGCTTCATTTCTAGTCTAGTCACACAGCAGTCATGGCTGCACTGGACCCAAGGGAGTGCCATCTAATAAATGGGTTGTGAGGTAGCTAGAAGAGGACAAGACAGACAGTCAGGCAACACCACCAGGATACTGAGCTGTGAAGTCCTAGAGTTGTTAGTTCCAACAGACACAGGGAAGCAAAAATAATTTACCTTAGGTCTTTCTCACCAGCAAGAAGGTTACCAGAAGACTCAGCACCAGGAAAAACAGCTAGTGAATTTATAGTATATAATTCCTCAAGACACCCTATAAGTTAATGAAGTCGGTGTGAGAGAACAGGGAAAGCAGCCTTTGAGGTAATACTAGACAATAAATCCTAGCAAGCAACAGGCAGTCCAACCAGAACTCTCTGCACAAGATTCAATCAGCTCTAACCACAGGACAGGCAGTACTTTTAGAGTTAGCAGTGGTCCTGTTTTTCTCATGAGAAGCTAAGACACTGTGCAGCAACTCTGCAGAACAGGGCCTCCAAGGGAAGCCTATAGTTAAGAGCATGTGGTTCTAGTCAAGAATTTATAAGCCAAATATGAATGACTTTAGCTTACTACAGTGCAACCACATCACTTTTGGTTTTCTCAGCCAGGCACACTGCAGCATGACATCCTTAGGTATCTGACATCACGTTGCCATTCACTTGCTCCCCATGGGCTCCTATCAACAGCCTCTAAATACTCCAACCACATATTTCACAAGCGAGTCCCAGCACTGTGGCTGTCCTGGCCACAATCTGGTGCCTAGATTTTCCCTTAGCTTTTTATTATTAGTGTAGCATACCACAGCCGCTAAGTCCACCTCAACACACAATTATTGAACTGGCTGGATCTGCACAATGAAGTGTGGTAATGGAAGCAGGTGATCCAAAAGCAACATTGATGATGAAGAGCACCGTTACCCATAGAGAACACCACAAAACGGAGGACTAAATCCTTAGAGGCTATTGTGCCTATCACTGGCTAGCTATAAAGACACAACCAGTTCTTCTCAGATCACCATTTTCTTTTACCTCCATTATACACAACACATCCTTCAGAACTGCTTGGTTTACTTAGATCCAGATTCTACCCATTACAACGAACAGTGGACAGGTCCTCCTTGATGTTGGCCACCTTACTTTTCTCCTTCACTCAGTATGTTTTGAAGTTAAGCAAACTCCATAGCACCATCTTGTGATAAGAACGATCAAGTGCAAAGTAGGCATGGGGTGATCACCTGAGGCTACATGTATCTAGAGGGCTTGCATCTCAGCATGGGAATAGTCATGGACTCCACTGCCATCCAGCAGTGACCTCTATCTGGAGTCACACACAGTGGCTTCAGCTAAGAACCAGGCCCTATATACATGAAGTCCTCAGTTCAGAAGAAAGGGACTGCTTCAAGAAGCATGTAAATTTAAGCAGACTGTGTAACAGTAAGAGCTCAGTGGACAAGGTAAAACAAGTTCTTCAGTGAATGTCACTGAAACCATGTGCCCACACTGATGAGAAAGCTACCAGTAACATTCATGTTACATTACCAACATTAATCTCTTCTACAGTGGTTTCTATCAGAAATTAATATTCCCCCCATTTTAGGTTGGGGCAGGGTTTGTGTATGGTTGTTTAACAACTTTGAATCTCAAAAAAATGCTGGGATTACCTTCATTATTGTTTCATTTTAACAGATGTCAAGAAAAGATTTAATCTGTGGTCTGCACAGAGCTGAATTCATACCCAGACTTAAACTTCACCTACTAGACTACAGAGGCAATTTGCAATGAAACACAAGTGTCTCAGTGGAAGCCAGCAAATGGCTGGAAGAAGTATCCAGACCTAGGAGACTAACACCAGAAAGGAAAAACAAAGAGTTAAGGGACAAGACAGAGTTGAAGGGCTGCTGCCAACATAGGACCTTCTACAAATAAAGCTTTCAAGGAGAGTAAGCCATCAAATGACAGAATATTGAAACAGCTGCCTGCTTCCAAGGAAGCCGGTGCTATGCTCTGTGGCTTGCATCTGCAGCCAACTGAGGAACTAATTCAGAAGTGAGTGGATAAGACAGGAAAAGCACACACTGCAGAAGCCATATTTGGGTTGGCTTTCTATCCATCATCTCATTTTCATTGCTACAATAAACATAAGTCAACTTTACACAAGCAGCCCTTTAAGCTGCTGTACAAACATGGACAAGTCAAGAACTGTGTTACACTGAATGCCAATTTAGGTTTCATTTCATAATGAGGTTTGTTTCCCTGTATTCTAGCAGGAACAGATTTCTGCAGAAATTGAAATAAGGGGGTCTATTCTGACTAATAGTCAGCAACTCTGGAATTCATTTCTAGTTCTGCTTCTGAGCACTCAAGCCTGAGAAAAGGCAGCAAATCTGTCAGGATGATTTGCTCTAGATGTCATGTCTAGCTCGAGCACTGAGAGCTGTGCAAGTACCAGAGAATGAGTTCCACGTATGAGTTCTGATTGTCAAAGCAATATGTGAAAAAGGTCATTTTCCAGAAGTTATTCCCACTAGCCCACTGAGGGAAAGCAGTAGCGTGACAATAACATAGTGTAGATTCATAGTTTTAGTTTACATATTTTAAATCAGCATTATGTGTTTGAAATTCTAGCATTATCTTATGGCATGTAGCATAAAGCAAGATACAGATTACTTGCCTTTCCCATCTGTTGCTGAAGCCTCCTGTAAATGTCTTATTGACCTGAAAAATAAAAATAAAAAAGTAGATGAGCTATAATTTTTGCACTTCCTTTCCACTGCAGCCCTCTAGAACACTGACAAGTTTTGTTAGCTCTTTATGGCTGGGGCATGCTCATAATTAACTGTGCTTGGCACTGCATATATTTCACCTCATCTCCCCAGCTGAGGCAGTTAGTTCAAGTATCTGTACCTTCGTGTGATTAAGAAAGCCAATTGCTAAAGCCTATTTCAGCCTACAGAAAGCTTTGTGGGAGGGAACAGAGTAAGAAACTGAGGCATTTTCCAACATAATGCCTTCTACTTGTACAGTTAAGCCAAACTACTATTCAGAGTACTGCCAAGCATTTGGCATCTTACTGCTCTTTTAAGCCCTTTTCATTTAAATAGTTGATTACAGCTTACGTGTCTACATAGGCAACTTATGTAACAGAAGCTACCCTGCAGGAATGTAAATTCAAGGGCCAAGTCTTAGTCACCTTGCTCACATGAGTCATCCCACCAGCTGCAGTGACACTATCCAGATGAGAAAGGGGCAGGATTTTATGTCCTGGGCCTCACTGCCAGTTTATGTTGGTACCATGACAATACAGGAACACTGGTTGCACACTATAAACAGTTACAGGACAGCTCACTCAAATGCATTTGTTCTTCAGATACAGTTCCTTTATGGAAAGCAAGCTTTGTACCAGCGTATTACTAGGTAGAACATATGGATTCTAGCATTAGGTAGTAAGAGCTGTGACTGTAACAGTCACCTTTACCATAGGAAACCAGAATCTCTCTACAATTAAAGTTAATATTCCTGCAGTTTTATTTACCATACCCAAATGCTCTCAACCTCAGGAGAGCTGCAGCATTTTGACTGGAGTGGGGAAAGGGACAAGTAGGTAGTGCAAATTTCTTGGAAGACATTTCAGAGCCTTGACAGAAGGCCACCAAGACTGTGTAGGGTTTTGCCCTTACACAGAGGACAACTGGGAAGGCAAGGACAGCCAAAAGCCACCCTCACAAGTCAAGCTGAAGCTTAATCCCATCTATTGAGCAACATGTATGTGTGTCTTTATACACACACATTATGAAACAGTTCTCTTAAAAGACTCAAGAGCTACACACTCTAGAGCGATGACATGTTTACTAGACAGACATTTATATTCACTCTGTTTCAGAAAAAAATACTGGAGAAAAATGAAGAATATTCTGTGTTTACTAACCAAGGAGCCAGAAGCTCCTTCATACCCTCCCTTTAAATCCAGCTGTTTATCCAATTAAGACTAAAATGAATTTAGAAGATAATGTTCTGACTAACTGGCAAGAACCAACAATAGCATTCATCTGAATTATCTGTGTTTTGGTCAAGTTTTATATAACCAACATTAATCCTTGCCAAGTAGAGTGGAACGAAGGGCAGGGAAATGCTCCCTGTGGGATTATTTCTTCTAAACAGTCAAGTAAAAATGCAGCTACTCTGCTTGAAGGCAGCAGTGATCTTCGACAGCACTATTGTTTTAGAATTTAACAGCCTAGTTTCCAACCTCAGTCAGTACAGCAAAATCCCATTTCTCAGTGTAAGAGTCAGCAATTCTGCAAAACTCCAAGTTTCAAAAGCACCTACAGTCTGTGCTGTGCTGGTCACGATTAAATTGCCAACCCATCTTACCCCCACTTTAACATCCTCAAAACAGCATCTTCCACAACACAAGACTGAACTGTTAAGACTGATAACAGTTTTAAAAAAGTTCACAGAATGCTTGGCTCCAAAGAACTGACTTTTTTTGCTTTGGGATTATCTTTAGCTCTAACTAGCAGTCAACAGTCATTAGTTCAGAAACAGCTCGAGCCATCTGGGCTCAGAAACCACTTAACTCATCCAGTGACTCACCATACCACTGGAAATAGGATAGCTCCACAACATAGCAAGTCTACCAGGAAGAGGATTTCTTTCCACAGTCCATATTCAGTTGTCCCCTCTTCAGTTGACTCTATGATAATGTATGCCACATTTGCCAGTACCTACAGGACAAAACATACTTAATTGTTTCAGAAGTTTTCCAAGGAGATATTAGATGTGGGCTGCCAATTCAGCAAAAGCTGTCCCACAGTTGCAGAGAGCCCATTTAGTAACATCAATAATTCTTCTGCAGCTCTGTGTCAAGAAAGTCATGCATTCAGCAGCATCTTCACAGGATTTACAGAAATAAAACTGATTGGAACTTATTTCTGCTGACATTCAGAAAGTAGTCCTTTTTGTAATATACTATGCTGAATCTACTGTATCAGTAGAGATAAATAGCAAAATCTATTTATAGAAATACAGAAACAGGACTCCCCCTACACACAGATAACAAACAGTCTAAATGCATTACTCTAAATTAAGCCAGTAATTCAAACTGGTCATTGACCACATTTTGTGCTCCATACCTGAGCTCTGCAAGAGCCTCAAACACTAATTACATACTCCTGGTTTTGCAGCTGGGTAAGGGATTCCATCTGGAAATGCAGAAAAGCTGTTCTATCTACAAATAGAAGTGCTGCCCTCCTATTTACTTCAGTTCCTGGAGTAGGAGACAAGCACTGATCACTCTGAACACAGAGTTTCCTTCAGACTTCAAAAAGTCCTGAAAAGACTGAAAAAGTCCTTCAGACTTCAAACCTACAAGTCTCAGTTCCCCCCCCCCTTTTTTTTTTTCTTAAGCTCATTCAGCAATCATTTCAGAAGCAACAACTTTTTCTTAGTAGTTTAGTACTGTTTGCAGCCCAGGTTTCGCCTACCTTATAGCTAATTGTTCATTTGCTGACACTACATGATCACCATTATCTCATACTCAATACAGAGAAAAGTGGGAAAAATTAGAGAAGCAGCTTCTGGCCCAGGAAATTCCAGCTCAACTGAAATTGTAACCAATAGGCTTATACAAGCAGTATGTATGTGGTATTTGTGAAGGATTCACAGCCTTTTACAGTTTCCACAAGCAGCTCTCCCAAAAAATAGCAAGTATTGACAGCTCAGTCCTCACCTGAAGTGGGATGACAATCATGAAAATTTTTTTGTCTTTATCTGACAGGATGTGTTTAATGAAAGCCCAGCCTGTGCCAATAAGGGCAATAGTGATGAACAGAAGAGCACCCTTCAGTCTGAAAGGGAAGGAGATACTGCAGTGAGAGATTTTATTTTATCACACTTCCTCTTCTGCCCAGGTTCTCTCCTACAGTCAGTAAAGCCACAAACCCAAACAAATCCTTTGCTATTCATAATTTTGGCAAGTGCTTATCCTACAACAGCGAAGCAGATGTACTTGCTTACAACTGTGTATCACATAGCAGTATTACACTTCATTCACAATTGTCAATATATGCAATCTTTTCCTGGGGGAGTCATTCATTCACCATCATGAACAGGAGAAAACACTGGCAGCTGTACCCTCTTACCATTCATGCCAAGAGCAAATTAGGTACTTGAATATTAGTATGAACAAAGAAAAGCAAAGCATTTCTTTTCCTTTTACTCCTCCACCCAGATAAGCACCAATTCTCTGCAGCTGCCCTCTATAAGTAGAGCTTTCCCCTTCACACAGGGCTGATTGTTGTCTTGTCATTCAGACCACAGTACCAAAGAATCAGCAATTTTCCAGTTTGCTCAGGCATGAGCCAGGGGGGCAGCCCCACAGGGAAGTAAGTTTCATTGTTTGAATTTATCACATCAATCTTTGACATACTTACAGGTGAGTGATGTAATAAACAACAGCCCAGCCTTCAATAGGAAATCCCTGAGAAGAAATGTAGTGATAGTCGATCTGGAAGCAGGAGATACAGTACATTACTTCAGAAGCTGCTCATCAGCGTCCCACCCATGTCTATAAAATAGGCCTGCTTGACAGCCACTTCAAGTTTCATTTTCCAATCAGTATGTACAAACTCAGCGCTGTTACACCTTACAAAATGCTTCCTCCCAACATGTTCTAGTTTTGTTTAGCAACAGTGAGGTCACTTCCATTTTCCATTAGCACATACATCTCATACAATCTATGTCCTTCCCACACAGCTCCCACAGTTAACAGTAGTTAAACTGCATTTGCAACCTATTCACTCACTCACTGTTCAAGTTCAGTTCCATTAGGTGACTAGAGGCTTTCTAGATTCACTTCCACTGAAAACCAAATTCAATTCATTAGACTCCAAAGAGGTCTGTAGCAGATATCCTATCATGAAGGTGAAGCTCATGGCTGGCACAAACATTGAAGGATTAAATGCCTGCCATTACCTCTGTTTAGAAGATCTTTCCAGTGGAAAGGCAAAGTCAATACAATTCAACAAAAATTTTATGTATTGAAAGTATTAAAGCTTATAATGTTAGGCCTGTTACAGTACACTATAACACTTTGTTTAAAGTAGTGCCCTTGAATTTTATAAACATTCATCAAGGTTTCCATTTATTAACATTCATAGCAAGCCATGCAGCTGAAGCAGCACCACAGCTCAAGCTTTTAGGCCAGCCTCAGATGGCCAAAACATTAGAATCATGAAACTCATTCAACCCTCATATATGCTTGCTGCTTCACCATTTCAGGCCATGATCTCGATTGTATTTAAAGTCAGAATTTGCTGAGGAAAACTGAATCACTTCCACCAAACAGCTGCAGTTCAGTTCCAATGCTTCAGTGTGAAAGAGTTCTCTCTCCCTCCCATTCTTCCCCCCCCCCGCCCAAGCTGAACAACTTAATGCCGAGACATACGTACTGCATGGAAGACTAAGGACAGAGATTTTGTGAAAGGGAGGGCTGCCATTAGCCAGTGAATTTTAAACACATCATTTCTGGAAAAAAAAAAGCATCAATTAAAAACCAGCAGTAAAAGTTTCAGTTCCCAATGGTATTTCTTTAAAACCTATAAATATCAAACAGTAACTTCCAGGCAGAGCTGCCTATTAGTGTAAAAGGATTCCCTTTAATGCTGCAGTACAAGTTTTCGCAACATCCTGAACAACATTTCAACTACACGTTCTACAACTCTGATTTTTAATACTTGGATTAATTAAAAATAGTATTTCATAGGAAGATCCTGCATATCTAGATCATAAATGTTTGAATTACATTTAGCAAACTTGATAACAGTTATTACTCCACCCTCTGCCCCCAAGTCAATACACCACAGCACCAAGTGAACTCCAGGCTACCAAATAATCTGATCACCAAGTGAACTTCAGACTAACTCAGAGGCAAAGCCGAAACAGCACCATAGGTGTTCCTGGCTTCTGCTGCTATGCTTTAACTATTAAGCAGCATGGTTTTCAATTAGGAATTCCTACCACTTTTGACTATAATCAAAATGTTCATGGCTCTCCACTGCCAAACTGCCATTCCCCATATGAAAAAAATTGATCAAGTTTTTCTTGTTATTTAAAGTGTTTGTCAAACAGCACTCTCCTTTTGTCATCAACTACGGGATTTCCCTGATTATTTGTTGTCACAATATATTATGTACACTACATGAAGCATTTCTTAACATAAGACTTGATAACTTTAGAACAATTGTCTGCAACAATGATACTGATGGAAGCAGCTGTTTTCAACTATAAACTGTATGTATTAGCCATACAATATTGACCCAGATTCTGAGTTTTAAGTGATTAAATCTGACTGTGAATTGGGCATTATAAGAGGAGGAATAAAAAAAATAAAGATCAAACAAGGCAGGCCCATACTTGTCACTGACACCAAACTAATCCACTTACCTGCGTTTACGAAGTATGTGGATCCATACAGTCCCAGACAGGAAGAAGAAGAGAGCCATGGAAATGTAAAGTTTTGGCAGTGGGATCTCCCCCGCTGAGAGGTAGCTTTTAGGATTCTTTTCCGTAATTTCTATCTGAATATTAAAAGGTGTGTTATGTGTACAGTTGAAAAAAATTTTTAAAGCACCGAGTTAACAATTACAGTTCACAATCACATTTGCTCATTTAAAATTTTTTGTCTCGTAAGTCACTGCTTCAAAAAAGCAAGAACAACTCTTCATCCTCAAGAATCTCAAAACATTTTGCAAAATTACACCCACAACAATAATTTTCTTAGAAAGCAGAAAAGGGCAAAGGTTCTTTCCAGTGCTTCAGTTATGCAACATAATTCAGAAAGGCAGAGTCATTTTCCCAAAGAATAGCTGCTCTCTATACCAAACTTATGAGTCTTCCCAGCTTTGATTCAGAAATAGTATCTACAACCTTGTATAACCAAGCAGGTTTTTCAGTACAGTCCCAATTTTAGGTGTTGACACTCACATAGCTAAAAAACTCATTCTTAGGTTTACTACAATGGATTTCTTTACCTGTCAAGAGAAAGGAAGCACTCTGCTGCAAGCCCATTACCCTGCGACTGACAAAAGAGAAGCTTTAACATCCTATTTATGCCCCTGAACAGCTTGGTTATATGCGCCAGGACTTCCTTTCGACACTAGTTTGCAGTACCAAAACTGTCCTGCTCCTCTAAATACAACCAAGCAGGTTAGTTATCCAAGTTTTCTTCCCTGTCCAATTTCTTCAGTGGGTCAAAGCAACAAACAGCAATTCAAAAACTTGGTGTTCTAAATGTACAACTTCATAAGCAGATTTAACATAGTCCAGTCTGAGTTAAGTTAGGGCTGCTAAGTTTTATCACCTACATGTTGCTTCCTTGCTTTTTCCTTGCAGTAGCATTAGCACAACCATATAAAAAGCAGTTGAGGGGTCTGATCTGGCTGAGAGTTACCTCAGTCAATGACAGGATTCCTTACAGAATAGCTCACTATACACCAGCACAGATGCACGAGCACAGGAAAGAAAAAAAAGGGAGAGCCCGAGCTGTGATAGTGCACTCTGGCTCAAAAGAGCAAAGGACCAAACCCTCGGATATTAAGAGATAAGGCATTTGCTAGAACATATTGACTTTAAGATGTGCTTGTAACACTGTAAAAACACATCATTAAGTAGGCCAGAAAAAAGCAAAACCACTGAATTCACAAATACCAACAATTTAGACTGCAGCAACAACCTTAATATCTGCAATTGTATAAAGAAAAAAAGTGATTTCTGAGCACAGCAAAACATGAACAGCTGTTGTAGCTCCCATGTCATTACAGCATCTAGTCACAACTGTGTAGACTGAACCCAGCCCACACAGTCTTCACATTTCCAGACATTTCTCCAAAGCTAGTATTTTAATTCTTCTTACTGTAGTTTCTTCCTTTAGAAGTGCCACTACAAAGATTAAACACAATTCAGTCACATCCCACCCCATATATACACTCATGTATGGTGTGTGCTTGGTATACAGGCTAGAATTGAAAGCTGTATATTTCAGTCTAAGCAAATGAGTTAAATATACTTTAGAAGCTATACTCACATCGAGACTAAATAGCTGCTGATCATTAGGTGGCCCATTCTTGCCAACACATTTATGGAAATATAGGCTGTAGAGACCTTCTTGGTTATCAGAGCTGATGTTAAAAAAAAACTGAAAATAAGGAATAGCAAAGTCAGCATTCTTCTCATTCACAACAGGGTTTCCCTGGTAAGAAGCCATCGCTACTGAAGCGTGAAAAAAAGTCAGTTATTTAGGGTCAGTTGGTTCCTTTCAGCAAGCATACTGTTCCAAGGATACCAGTATATCTGCAAGTTTAAATAGAATTCCAGATGCAAAATCAGTGTTCCCATCTATGATTATGCACTCTGGTCATCCAAGACCTTTATCAAAAGCCTTTAGGTATCAGTGTTTAACTTGGCTCACCGCAAAGAAAAGATAACAAGAAGTGCCATCTATTCAACACGGTGAAGCGTAACATTTTGATCATACTTGCCCTCATGCATAAGCAGCTATTCTGTTCCTTCCCCAGATTGTGATAGCTATAGAAGTGAGATTTGTGTCACGTAACACAATTTAAAATGTGCTTGTTTTATAGTAACCAACAATCACAAGTGAACCAAAGCATTGATCTGGTTTCACACAGAGTGTCTTCCCCTTAAGTGAGTCAGTCAGGTCACAGCTATTTGTTGTTAGAAATCTGTATGCACCAGTTACATCACAGTAACCTTTAATAAGCTGAGGCTCACAGACTAAGATATCTAGAACTGCATCATACCAAAGACAGTTTAAAACAGCTCTCTTTCATAAGAGAACAAAGATTTTCAGAACTTATTCTTAACAAGAGTCCACTCAAACACTTACTGAGCTATCAGAGAGGCATCTATACCAAAGAAATGGTGATTACAGTAGGGAACAGACTTTCACTTTCCACAAAGTAGTCCAATGAAGGAACCATCTGCACACATGAAGACTAACACACACCCTACCTGAAATGAAAAAGTTCCTCTGTCATTGTGAACAGGATGTTCTTGTTCTATTACGCTCTGGGAAAAGGAAAAGAGACTTTTAGATCTTTTTTAAGCAAGTAACTACCACATTTAGCTACATCATCCAGACAATCAAAACAGCATTCTGTATATTTAGAGTGGAAGCTAAGAGCAAGAGAAAAATAAGTCTTCGCTTTCTGGCTATGCTCATACCAAAAAAGAACAGTAGACAGTGTCTTACCTGGGAGGATGCTGTACTTCGTTTGGACTTCTTATCTAGAGATAAGAGTATTAATGTTACATTTAGAGTGCTTGCATTTAGACATCCCTGTAGACTACCACCTTTTACACATTGCCAATACTTTACTCAAATCTTCTTACACTTGCCTGTGTAGCAGTTTCCAAGATCATCATTAACAGATTCTTTCCCAGTCCTCCCTTAATCCCCCAGGACCCTTCATACAGCTAGCATTCATTCTGAATGCATCCTCAAATGCTAGGATAGGCTTCTCTGCTACCTTCTACAAAAGCCTACTACCCAAGAAATCTTTCCAACCCATCCAATTACAGTGATGCAAGAGGCAGATGACCTATACCAGAGGCAGGCTACAGCCTTGTTTCATACAGTCTACAGCCATAACTTTTAATGTTATGACTGAGTACTGTTAACCTCACTGACAATCTTAATCTAGACATTAATGTTTTTGGCCCCAGTAAAACCACAAACAAAACCCAAAAGCACAGATGACCTGCCAAGTCAGTTAGCTGTTCTGAACTTGAGAAACTTAAATTGACAGGACACTTCAACAGAGCAGCATGTCAAGTTCAGTTTTACTCCACTCCTATAAGAAGCTTTTCAAACATAAGGTCACATCCCATTCTACCAGGAAGCAAAAGTTCAAGAGTTAAGCTTTTCTTCTGGCTCCCACGCATCAGCGCATTGTCAATGTGCATGCTATACTTTTTAATGCAAGAAAAAACAAAACTAGAGCTGTCAGATCAATTATCTTCAGCACCATCCAGCTTTAGTTCTTGACTTGTTAGAACACCTGTGCAAAATTTTCAACAATATCAAAGCTTGTGAACATGATAGGCCAAGACAGACTCAGACTACTTCAGGTCAGACTGCTCAGCGATCTGTTATGAAGTCTAAACTCTTCCAGGAAGGGATAACATGAAGTGTTTAGAGCTAGTCTCAGAACAGAGATTATAAAAGTGTTTCATCTGCTGGTCTGGAAGCCAGACAAAGATTTGTGCCTCCAAGAAAGGTTACCGGCAGAGTTACTTCTCCATCCCCATAGCTTCTAAGTGACAAAATAGATTTCAGCTCTTTAGACACATACAAACATTGGCTGGAAGGGACCCGTGGAGGTATTTAATCCAGCTTCTGACTCAAAAGTACGCTTAGTGTCAACTTCATATCACATTGGTCCTGGCTTTGTTTAATCAAGTGTTTAAAACTTCAAAGGATGGAGGTTCTACAACTTCCACAAATAATCTGCTACAATGCTGGAATACTTACCTAGGAAAGTCTTATTTTTTCTCCTAACATCCAATCTGAGACACGCAAGACTTAACAAGGGGGAACAGCCACAGGTTGCTTTGTGTGCCACTACTAGAAATAGCTTGGTATCATTGTCCTTCTAACCTTCTTTCAACTAGTTGTTGGTGGCTACCAAATTCCCTTAGTTTTCTTTTTGCCGGAAAAAAAGACAGTCAAGCACCTCAGCCCTTTCTGACCTGTACTGTAGGTCTCCAACAGTCACATTAGGTCTCTGCTGGATCAACGGAACTGGGTAACGCAGATCACTGAGCAGGAGAGACTCCAGCCCAAAAGGTAGCTCTGAGCACAGGCTTACACAAGACTGCGTATCAAGGTCTAGCCCAAGGGGACCCCAAAATGTGACAACACGCTGCTGGATGCACATCAACAAGGAACTAGCAGTGAGAGCACACATAGGTCAGGTTTAGTAGGCTTACCTTCGCTGTCTGTATTTTGGTTGGTCTTTGGAGGATTTTCACCAGAATCACTGCTCTGTTCAGAAGTTTTTAGCGGCCTGGTACTTAAGGCAGTAACGTTTTCCTCAGACACAAATGAAATTTTAGGTAACAAAGATGAAGCTTCTGCAGAGAACCGTACTTTCACACTAAATAAACAAAGATTTTATACAAAATGAAAGCCTCTTTATGAATGCTGATTTGCTATCTGTCATAGCCTAAATATAGCAAATAAAGGAATATCAACTTGTCTTGACTGATTTTTTTACCACAGAGAACAGGCAAGCACCAGATCATGAGTTACAGCAGCCTAGCATTGAACTGATCACTGTGGGAGAAGTCACACTATACGTTTACATCAGATACAAGAGCAGCTGAAGAAAAGTAAGTTTATTCAGTTTTGGTAACCAGAGTCTCCTTAGAAATTATGTTTCTACACAGTTACAGCTGTTCTTGCAAAAGAAAGCACCACAGCCTCAAAGGTACTTCCATAAAATAGATAATTCAAGACAAACAATAAAAGGGCATATTCAGTACAACAGCTGCAAAAGTGACCCAAGACTTCAAGTTCATGCCTTCAGCACAATTAAGGCATGATTCCTTTGTCCCATATCCCCTTATCCCTCCAAAATGCAGCAAGAGTTCTTGGACTATTTTATACTGCAGATTTTTTTTCTTTCACTCACCTCCCCTCAACTCTCATGTAACCCATTACAAAATAAGCTACACACACAGCAGCTTTCCAAGCCCTTAAAGAAATTTCTTAAGTTTTAATTGTGAACAGAGAATTAACTTTAAAATATAGGGTACGCTATTTACTCACGCTTTAGTTTTGAAGTCCAGAAGTAAGATTACAACAGAGACATCTTGGTCTGGTTTCTTTTTCAAGATACAGTAATCTACTTCTTCATCCTGGTAATATAAGCAAAACTTCTTTGAAGTGCCCTCCTGTTCATATGAAATGGGACATGTTCCCTCCCAAGTAAAGTTACCATTATTAGTCCAGCAAGTTGTAAAATTGAGTTATCCTTAACAGCCTGCCCATGTCTAAAGGCTCCCCCCCTTTTTTTTTATTTCTTCCAACCATTCCTCGAGTAAGGCAGACTATGAGATGTCCCCAGCTTAGAAAAGTTCACATCTCCTACCAGGTAAGTGGAGAACCCATCATTCCGTGTTCGATCCAAACTGAACCCCACCTATGAGACAATTGAGAAGAATCTGTCAAATTAAAACAGCTCAGGTTCCCCTTGTATCAGAAGCTAAACCAGCACTGAAAGAGTCAAAGATACTACTCTCTAAATAAGTTATCCTACATTTAAGGCAGAATCCAGGTATTTTTCTCATTACCTAATTAGCTAGGAAAAAAGTATTCAAATTTAAAACTTGCTGCTTCATCCATATCCACCAAGAATAAAGTTAGTTTGGGTTTGAATCTGTAGAGTACCTTCTGTCCCTGAACCTTTTAACATTTCAGTATTTTTCCAGATGTTTTTGCTTGAAGAAAACATTTAATTTTAGTAATAAAGAGGTTGAAGTGTGTAGAAGAGTAAGAACACAGGTCTGTTTTCTACCCTAGTATTTCAGTCCCTCTATTAAAAATCACCGATATAATGTGCTATATAGCACATAACATTAGAATCCTCTAAAAATAAGACAGTCACTGTTCTGGAAACCTACTGATATAATGATTACAAGATGCATTGCCACGCAAGAGGACAACGTGCAAATCTCATGTCAGAGGACTGCTTAGGAAACCTATGTTAAATATAGGTTACAGATATGTGCATCGAGTTCAGCAGAGGATCCGATAAGTTCACCCTTAAAGCAGAATGGATATCACTAAAGAATAAATCTCACAATATACGTATCCTCATAAACGGCTCACAGTGGGGAGCAAAGCCAACAGCACCACCAGTGAGGATCTGACACCTCAAACAAGGTAAGGCATCCAATGGAAGGGCAATTTCACAGGAAGCTTAATACAGTCAGTGGACTCAAAGTAACTTACTGATAAGCCCTTCTCTTCAGAGTCTACAGGTGGTTTCAGTGAAAGGTTGCTGACATTGACTTTCATGAAACCATCCTTGAAGAAGCCAAAGGTATTCAGGTGCACTTTCTGCCTCACATCATCCTGTAAGAAAGGAAAGAAAGTTTACAAGTCACACAGTCATCTGCAGCAGAGCAGTCAAAGAGGAAGTAGGGTGACAGAGATTGACACGTAAGCATCACACAAAACATCTATCTGATCATACCAAGAGCAAGTTTCTTTAGGATACCTTCAGTATCAGTTATAACCAATTATTTCACTGGAATCAACCAACTCTTCAAGAACCTGAACAGCAAGAACTTCATATAAATGTGTCTTTGCTAGTTATCTATACACAAGAAATACTTAATTTCTGCCAGACTTTTTTCTTGTGTATCTGGCATCACTGATTACACAAAATAATGCTACCAAAAAAAAAAAGAGACTGCAGACAAATCAAGACAACTATTGTTTGAGTGCTAGCTACTGTCATTGCAACAGACTGAAGAATTAGTTGACTGTAGTGATTTTACCTGAGAGCTGGGTTTTGGCCAGGTATTTAACAAGTATCACAGCATACTGTCATCGTACCACGTCTTCTATGTTAGGCAGGGTCAATGTTTGGACAGTCAAACACCTAACACACTGGAAAACTATGTGTATGGAGTAAATGAGACATTTTCTTATGCAGTCCCATTCATCCAAATGACTTTTTGCAAGGCCTTGCATCTTATAAGTAGGATACATACTGAAAACTGGATATATGTGTTCAAACAGAATTACTTGGGTTAGTTCCTCTAATAAGAAAACTCCAGTCCCCTCCTCTGCTCCCAGTCTTAGCTGCAGAGTAATTTACTTCCTCTCAGTCTGGCAAGGAAACTGTAGAAATCAATCCCTTTCTGTGCCTTGCTCAGCTAATAAAGGTTCAAGTACAGTGAGCTTTTTTTTAAAATAAGGTGGTGATGAAGGACCTCACATGAAAAGTAGTAAACATTACACACAGTTGCCACATCAGATGAGGCAAGGTAATATCCTTGTTACTTTACATTCATAAATTAATAGGTATGTAGTTGGGCTCTCAAAGCTACTGGATCATTAATTGGAAGAAAAGCAGAAACAGAGCAACAAAAATTAAAAAGCAAGTTTAAAATGTGATTTAAAGCACTTTTATAAGTTGCCACTAAAAGTAAGAAAACTGTTTCTTCTAGGAAAATATAATCAGATTGCAGGATACTCCAAGCAGAGAAGTCAGCTGCTAAAAGCAAACAAACCATTTTGGACAAGGTACTGGAAGACTGAGTCAGGAATTGTAGAAGTACATTAAGTTCTCTCTCTCCCTTTACCCCCAGTATTAATTTTGACATCTCTGCATAAAACATTCCTGATGCATAAATACCACTCACTGTAATAGCAGGACACTAATCCTGACACAGCTAACCTGTAATCTAGCTGTAATAAGATCGCCCTAATAGAACCAAGTTAACCTGGCAAATAACCAGATGGTTCCCTTAATGCTCAGAAGAGGGGGGAAAAAAAAGTTAGTGACACATGGCTCACAGCAGATGCTTTGTTCAACAGAGTATTATAGCTGTGCTGTCTTTGGGTTCTAGGTCACTTAATGTGCTTGAAACAAGAGCCCACCTGGTTCCTTTAAGACCATTTTCAATGTAATTTCCCATACATTGAATAGAAGATTAATACTAGCTCTTTACATAGTACATCATCCATATTTAACCACAACCGGACAGATAAGTATCTGTCTGGGTGATTAGGTAGAGGGGAATGAGGGGGTGATACAGTGTTATCCACCCAAAAGGGTTTTTTGCACCTTGTAAACATAACCAGAAACAGCTGCTTAATTCAGAGTACTTGCAAAAGCTATTCACTTCAATTTAAGTCTATTTACTCTGCCAGTTTACTAATATGCTCCCCACCAACAAAAGATAACTAATATACAACACACACACTTTCCTCCCTGGTTTTATCTCAGCTTTGAGTGCTTAGAGTTTACAGATTTAGTTCACAAATCCTTCAGCCTTACATGATCCCCCTCACGCTATCACCAGTTGCCACCAAGCAACAGCACACCCTCCAAGAGCATCTACTGCTCCACATATTGGCAGCTTAAAGGTACTGGCTTACTAATAATGGTCTCACCTCTCACAGCAGGTTTAACAGGTTGGAAGAATCTGGCTTTCCTTTATAAGCACTCAACTGCTGACCTCAGAAATATTCAATTATAAGTTTACAACAAAGGTGCTAACCCATACAAGTGAATACTGAAGCATCTGAGTTGTTAGCATACACATTATTTTAATTTACAGAGGGTGCATTTAAGAGTTAAGTCTGCCCCTTTGAGACGAGATGATCTGGGACTCATCGCTAACAGGTTACAGTCAAACCAATACAGGAAGGTCTCAGCTTATTTCCATAAAAATCTTTCCCACTTCTTCCACTCCTTTAGGGTAAAAATTGATACTGCAACATTTGATTAAGATTACCAAAAAGTGGTATCGAAGATCCTGTAGCCCAGAAGGGGCAGAAAGATATTCTTTAACATTTTACCTAAAAATCTAACTGGGATTACGCTATCAGTACAGTGAAAGTTTCATCAGAAAGCGCTTGCCCTTCCACAGAAGGAATTTTGTTATTTGTGTGAGATTAATAGAAAGACTTCTACTTTGTGTAAGACTAAATGAGTTATTGTGAAAGGTATTGTCTACTTGAGCATTTGAAGCCCGAGACCAACCAACATTAAAAGGCCGCAAGTATTTACAAACAGCCACTGAAAAATAACATCTTCCAAATAATAATTTGGAACATGAAAGCGCCATCTTGACAGTATCATAAAATAGGAAGCCAGTTAATCGCAAAGATAACTCACTTTACTCAGAAACTAACACCACAGCTGCTACACAGCACAGTCAGTTGGATAGTTCCTCTTGATAAATCACTAGAAACCGGTGCATTTGGCTATTTGCTAGCATTAAACTTAACTTCCTCATTCTCCAAGACAGTTTGCTATTGCATTACACAGAACATAAGGCTTCAGTATTATAGCATTCAACTGTTAAGATAAAAAAATAACTTAGGTCAAGAGAAACATTCCAACCTCCAGCTACTTCTGAAGACATCTGAAAATTGTTTACAGTCTTCTAGAACTTCAATTTTTGTAGTGTGGTTTTTTTTTTTTAAACATACCTCATTAAACTCATTCAAGGCCAGGTTGGACGGGGCTCTGAGCAGCCTGATCTAGTTAGTGGTGTCCCTGCTCCTGCAGGGGGGTTGGACTAGATGACCTCTAGGGGTCCCTTCCAACCCAAAACATTCTATGATTCTATGAAACTAATGTAGCTGGTAACAATCCCTATTAAGGAAGGGAGTCTCCTTTGATAAGGTGAGTCTAATAGCAAGATTCAAACAAATCATTTTTCTAACTCAGAAGAAATAAATAAGTTTGTGTATTTTTATAAAGATAAAAAGCTATTTTCAGAACAGGAAGCCACTCAGTCTGTGGCTTGTTTTTCTGACAACAAAAAGCTTCACCTTAGCACGCTAATTACAAAGATACAAGAATAAGGCTATTCTAACTTAAGCAATAACAGCTTGTTTGAGGAAACCTAATATCAAACACTCCCACAAAGCTGCGGCTTTTCACCTGGCACAGCGTCAAAGCGCACTTACAAGCAAGGAGCCAACTTCAAGAACACGAGAAGGGAGATTTCATTGTGAAAGCGTGCAGTTGTTTGAACCTGATGTTTACATAAATGCTGTAAAGTGACGCTTGAAGTAGAAAGGGAGAGACTGTGCTTTAACAATATACAGGAGGTGGACAAAGGCATTTAAAAGCACTTTGACTTTCTACAGTGCTTGGTGGGTCAGTGTTGCAACCACACAAAACACCTACAAAACTAAAACCATATCCTGCTTTGATGGTAAAAAACAGCAAACATGGTTTAGTGACTGATTCAGGTGATTAAGAGACACCCTAATAGGAACTAGAAGCCATAATGTTTGATGCTGAGAACATTTGCTTGAGGCCAGTTTGAAAGTTTTCTATGTAAGGGAAAAGCATCACCCCAGGAGAAATTCTCCCAGCACTCGATTGTTGGTCACAAATTCCTCAAAACAATAATGTAACCGGCACAAACCTCCTAATTTATTGCTTCAGAGAAAAGTCTACTTTTCCTGAAGCAGAACAATGTTCATGTGGTTGCACATTAGACAACTACAGAGACAGGAAAATTCCCTAGGAAGTAATCACCAGCGCCCCCCTGGCATTCACTGTATCCCCAAGGCTGAAGAGGAGCTCCTGCAAAGTTTTGGCACTCTCCCTAAACTACTACAAGAACAGAGTAATGCTGGTCCTAATCATATACCACTTTATTAACTTCTTCCAACATTTCTATTGGCAAAACATTGCACATTATCGACAGCAAGAACAAAATTAACTACCCCATTCTTAAGATTTACAAAGCACTTCATTAACTATACAAAAGCCCTTAAAAAGCATCACCCCAAATGCAGAGTTCCTCTATTTCCTGGTTTCAGCTCGGATAGAGTAGCTGGCATAGTGCTGTGGTTTGGATTTAGGATGAGAGTAATGTTGATAACACACTGATGTTTTAGTCATTGCTGAGCAGTGCTTACACCACTCAAGACTTTTCAGCTTCCCCTGCTCTGCCAGGGGCACGAGAAGCTGGGATGGGGCATCTATCCTAGCTGTACCCTCAACTGCCCAAGGGCTATTCCAGACCGTATGGCATCATGCTCAGTATAGAAACTTGGAGGAGCTGACCCAGGTGCAGCAATCACTGCTTGGGGATGGGCATCGGTCAACAGGTGGTGAGCAATAGCATTGTGCATCACTTCTTTTGTATATTCTCTTATCATTAGTATTATTACTATTTTCTTCTGCTGTTTTACTAAACTCTCTTTATCTCAACCCATGGGTTTTGCCTTTTTTCCAATTCCCTCCCCCATCCCACTGAGGCAGGGGGAATGAGTAAGTGGCTCTGTGGTGGTGTTCAGCTTTCTGCCAGGCTAAGCCACAACACTATCACATAACCACTGCACAGCTTTTAATTTAAAACATAACACATAGCAGCACTCCGGAGCTGCAGATCTTTACC